TGAGGTTGGAGAAGCTCGAACCATGTTATCATGTAGGGTTTTGTAAGTTAGGGTTGGGAATTTTCATTTATTTCTAAGTATTATAAGTGAGCTACTAGAGGGTTTTAAGCAGGAGAGGAACATGGCCTTACTTAAAATTTTAAAGTTATTCTGACAGCTGTTTGGAGAATTTACTGGAGGGTTCAGTAGTCAAAATAAGGAGACCTGTTAGGGCTAGGTCAAGCAAGAAATGATGACTGATTTGACTAAGGTGACAGTGAAGATAGAAAGCATTGGACAGAGGCAGACCATTTTAGCTGTAGAATTAACAGCATCTGTTATCGATTGGATGTGAGATATGAAGAAAATAGGAAACTCTGGGATGATGTACAGTACTATGTTCAATTTCCAATCTGATTATTACAGGCAAAATTGGCACACATCAGAGACCAGTAAATATATTTTGCCCAATTGAATAAACTTGCTTTAATGAATGTCTTAAACATATACATATTTAAGCTACTAAATCATAAGCTTGTGTTCATGCCTTTATTAATTATTAGGGAATACAGTTCTTAAGAATTAGTGGTTTATGTTACAGACATATCAGCTATGGACCATAATTACACTGTTACAATGAAGTATCCAAGCCAGCAGAGCAGAGTAAATAAAGCAGAAAAAATTGCCTGCCATGGATGCAGAAGTGCTATAGGAAATCTCATATTTTATTTTTAAGATTCATGCTGATCTTGCATTTTATGCTACAGTATGCCCATGTTTATATTAATAATTAAAATATTTCAAATTACTGATAAAAATATTTTAAGTCATCAATTAAATTGTTTAGCTTTTTTCCCTTAAAGTTGTTGAAATTGAGGCTCTAGGAAGATTACCTGTGATTAAACTGTTTTCATTTTCCTACCCTATTAATTATGGTATCGTTATCCTCCCATATACCCCAACTGAAACCCCCAGACCATTTCTTAATTCTTTTTCCCTCTTATCCATCCTCCTCTGATCACTTATTGAGTCTTATTGATTCTCTCTCTACAATATCTTTTCCACCTTGCTGCTTCATTCCTACTATCATTTCCCCTAATTTAGGTCATTACCTCCTACCTTTACTTTCAATAAAAATCTAATTGATTTCTGCTTTCAATTTCTCTTCTGACCTGTGAAGTCTATATATTATGGCTGAATTGTTAGTCTTCCTAAATCACTGACCTAGCCATTAATGGCTCCCCATTTCCTCCAGTATAAATCCCAAACTCCAGAATTCAGTCTGTCATCACTTTGCTTCTAATAATCCTCTTCCTCTAATCCTTGCCTATACTCCTACTATGCCTGCTTCATTCCAGCCACGCTTGACTACTGGATATTATTTCCACACTCAAAAGCACTTTCCTTGCCTCTCTGCCTTCTTAATGCCCTTCTCCATCTATCCAACTCCATCTGCCCCCCCACACACACACACACTGCCCTTCAAGAGTCCATTTTCATGCCACTTTCTCCTTCAAGCCTTTCCTGATCTGAACACTCCTTCCTTTTCACCCTCTTAGCCAGGAGTGATTGCTTCCTTTTCTCAATTCCCATATGTTTTATTTGTGCCTCTTAATGGTTTCTTATCTCATTGACTTATACATCTTTGTAGCTTCCACAACACCTAATATTAGGTACTCAGTAGGTGTTTATTGACTAGAAGAATTGTATACACAGTATGTGTTCATTATATCAGAATAAGCTTAAGCTCAGTGAGAATAGGAACCATGACTGTTTCAGTCTCATTCTGTATTTCTAGCCTCTAGCACATAGGAAATATTCAATAAACATTTGTTTAGAGAAATACAGCTATCAGTTATTGGGATATAAATTTCCTGGTGGCATAGTAGATATCTAGAAATACTTCATGTTGAATTTTTTTAAATCTTAGTTACATATGTTTACTTTATGTTGATAAACATCCTGTGATAAAGATCATGTATGAATGTTCTCACCTTACAAAAGGGAAATTGAGACTTACAGCAATTAAGTAATTATGATGACACAGCCAACAAGCAGCAGAACTGGGTCTGAAATTTAAGTCTTCAGTTGTGAAGTTTAGAGTTATTTTTCTTAGCCAAGGGTTGTTTGGCCAAAGAGTAGGTTAGTTCTATTTGAGAATTTGGGGGGTTATACTATTGCAGTCATGCTATATGGAATAGAATTATGGCCTTGACACCAAGATCATGGGTTCAGATCCCTGTACTGGCCAGCCTCAAAAAAAAAATTAATTAATTAATTAAGGCCTTGATTAACCTTAACCTTTTGTCTGTGTGCTGGATGTTTTAAAAATCAAACAGATGAAACACAAAAACTATTTCTGTAGAAAATTTTGGCCCTGCCTGTAAATACTCCCTCCAAGGTGAGATGACTATCTGTTCAAGCACTTTTCTCCTCTTAGGCTCCTTTTCCTAGCTGGTTTGGCTGTTAAGGTATGGGTCTGATTTCAGCTGGCAGCATAGAGGGTAGGTCTCCAGGCATTTGCCAAGTTCTACAATCTGGCACTTACCACACTACACGGTATTCATTGAAGGCATGGGGAGAGATTCTGTATCCAGGGAGCTGTGACACACATGCAGTCATTCCCCTTTATATTCCTATACTCTTAGATCAAGTCAGATCAAGTTAAGTACCTTGCCTTTTACTAGATTGCTGTTTGCCCATTTGCCATCAGGCTAGATATTAAGGGTCATTACTGGAAACAATCCTATCAAACCATTGCCACTATCATAAGGATATTGTGGGACACTATTCGTTATGATACACTGTGTCGTCTTTTATGAAAATTTCTTGAGAAAAACTATCTGATCTTAATACAAACAGTGCTTTTACCTCTCCTGAGAAACTGCTTTGTTTTTACCTTATGGGCATTGTGAATGTTTAACTTAACTCTCTCTGGTTAGCTTCCAAAAAGCTTCGAGCCAAATTTGTGGCCCACCTATAACAAATGTGCTCTATGCCTCATTAACTTCATTCCTTGCTCCAGTTTATGTCTCTGCTATAATTACTCTTTCTTCTTAAGAAAATCTTAATTCATACCATCTTATTTTATTATCATAAACAGCCATATATTGTTTCTGAAGCAGTTCAGATTATAATATACCATGTGTACATAAAACCATCTTGGATGCCTCTTAGTTACTTCATTTACTTCAGCTTTTTTTTTTTTTTTTCTTTTTGAGGGATATGTTTACTTTTATATAGGTTTTTGCAGAGTTTTGATTACATGAAAATGGTTATGACACAAAATTTTATTGTTTTAATAGTGTAACCAAGTGGTAAAATTGATGTCATAATCCCAGCCTTATCTTTTACAGCAATATGTATTTGTTTTCTTACAATATGCTTTGTTTTGTACTCTCAATCTGCATGTGACAATTTATTGCTCTGCAATTTTTAGAAATATTGTTGTGCTACCAGGTCAGTGCATAGCAGTTAACTTTGTTAACTCTGTTGAGTCTGTTAGGCTCAAACATTATGTCATCTTCTATACTCATCAGACTTCTTGTCTTTGTTAGGACCCTTCCTTGGATGATCATGAGCATATTAATCTCACCATACAACTTGTCTTGCTTCTGCTGTAAGTTAGTTATTCTGTTATTTGGACAAGATAATATGAATGGATATTTGTTTCTAAAACTGTTCAATAGGTTTGGAGCTTTATCCAAAATCTCTGATTATCTTACTAATAGCATCCAATTGATAACATAAATAATATTTGTGTAACTTTTAAAACTTTTAGTACCTTCAAGTGAAATTATTTGGCATACTCTATAACTCTCAGAAGTATGTAAGGCAGTATATGTCTTCTTTACAGATGACAGAAACAAAGACAAAATAATTTAAATAATTGCTCAAGATGATACCAGCAAATCAGTGGTAAAACTAGGGCTAGACCCAGGTCTCCTGATTCCTATGCCATACTACCTTTCAAAAGGTCAAAAGAATTTCTTTTTTTTTTTTTTTTCCTTTTTGTCTTTTTTCGTGACCGGCAATGGATCACAACCCTCAGTGTCGCTCCCGCACCGGACCAGGACCAGCAACGGGATCGCAACCCTCGGCACTGCGCCCGCACCTCGCTCAGCCAGTGAGCGGCCGGTCTGTATGTGGGATCCGAACCCTCGGCGGGAGCGCCGCCGTGCTCCCAAGCGGCGCACTGTAGCAGTGCGCCACCGGGCCAGCCCCAAAAGAATTTCTAACTTACATTATAAACATCACATAGTCTTTATCGCACCCCTTGAGTTTAAAGATAGGAAATGAGCAAAGACATTATCTTATATTCACAGCTAAGCAGAATCAGGAATGAAGTTCATTTGCTTTACTCATGATTTTCTGTTCTCAAAATTACAGTTCCTTTTAACTACAACTCTCATCACTGTCACTTTCCATTATGGAAGGAGGAAGCAATATTTTATCTTATCTCTTAAAAATTAATATTGAAATGAAAACTATTTCCCTTGGGAATTAGTAATTAGTAATTTTTTCTTCAGACTCTTTGAATTCATGTTTAATATAAAAATAATTTGCTGGATTGGACAGTTAGCTCAGTTGGTAGAGCATGGTGCTGACAACACCAAGGTCAAGGGTTCAGATCCCCATCAACAAACAGAAAAAAGAAAAAGAATTTGCTATTGTTATCATGCATATTTATTGAAGAGCCAAATATATGGTTAATGCTATGGTATTTGGTAAAACATAAGCTATAATTTTAACCAATCTCTACATTTAAAGAGGAAATTAAAAATTTATGCCTACTGTCTACATGGAAAATTTCCAGTTTTCATTCTAAGTAATTGTTCACATACAGCACATAAGCTAGAGTTTCTTGAGTATTTACTCTTAGCCAAGCATTGTTGCTAAGTACTTTACAATTATATTTAATCCTTATCACAATTCTGTAAGAATAGCTACAGTTTTACAGTCCCATTTCACAGCCACATATCATATACAACAGTAAATATTGTCTTCTGCCTCTCCTTCAGCTTCTGGAATTTCTGGGCAGCCCTGGTCAGTACAAGATGGACCCTGTAGTCTTGAGTTACATGGACAGTCTACTGCGGCAGTCAGATGTCTCATTATTGGATCCTCCAAGCTGGCTTAATGACCATATCATTGGGTTTGCCTTTGAGTACTTTGCCAACAGTCAGTTTCGTGACTGCTCTAACCACGTCTGCTTCATCAGCCCCGAAGTCACCCAGTTCATCAAATGCACTAGCAACCCAACAGAGATCGCCATGTTCCTCGAACCCCTGGACCTCCCCCACAAGTCAGTTGTATTCTTAGCTATCAATGATAACTCCAACCAGGCAGCTGGGGGAACCCACTGGAGTTTGTTGGTTTATCTCCAAGATAAAAATAGCTTTTTTCATTATGATTCCCATAGCAGGAGTAACTCAGTTCATGCAAGACAGGTAGCAGTGAAACTTGAGGCTTTCTTAGGCAGAAAAGGAGACAAACTAGTCTTTGTGGAAGAGAAAGCCCCTGCTCAACAAAACAGCTATGACTGTGGAATGTACGTGATATGTAACACTGAGGCCTTATGTCAGAACTTCTTTAGGCAACAGCCAGAATCACTACTGCAGCTACTCACTCCTACATACATCACAAAGAAGAGGGGAGAATGGAAAGATCTCATTGCCAAACTTGCTAAAAATTAGCTACTGAAGTATATTTGCAACTTTTGAAGTCTCCTCTTTCTGCCCTTCCCCGTTTATTGGATGGCTGCAATCTCAGTGCCTAAGGGAAGATGCCTGGTAGAAGAAAGCATATATTCTTACTTTTTCCCGAAAGAACGTTATCCCTGTATTATCCTAATAGAAAGTTTCACTTTAACCCTGACTTGAGAGCACTATGTTCTGTGAAAATGTCTTGAAGTTAAGCACCAAAACAAAACTAATTGAACTTAAAATTACTGCACACGAGATTCAAGACTTTTCTTATTGGTACAAAATTAATTCCCTTTTGGTCTCCCATATCCATGTTGGCTTTCATTACTGCACACGAGATTCAAGTAAGACTTTTCTTATTGGTACAAAATTAATTCCCTTTTGGTCTCCCATATCCATGTTGGCTTTTTCCAGAGGAAAAGCAGTGATTGGTAAAACAAATCAAGAATATATGAAATCTGCTGGTTAGAGGCACAGTGCTATAAGATGAAGGTAAAGGGTTCGGATCCCAGTACTCTCTAGCCACCAAAAAAAAAAGAATATATGAAATCTAGAGGAATGCAAGAAGAAAACTATAGAAGAACCAAAAACTTGTTGCACAGCCTACATAATTAAAGAGGTCAACTGCTGGAAGCATATCAAGGCCTAACTTTATTCAAGACCTAAATAATATGAGAATCAGCAGATATCTCTCTCATTCACTAGGCAAAGGCTTTCCTGTCTATCTGCACAACCTTTGCAGATATTTGATAAAGGTGATGTTAGCCCATCTTCCTTCATCTGATTCCGGGACTACTTCAAGAAAGGGGAAGTCTTGAGTAACTTCATTAAAATAAATGACTGTAGTGGACCTCTTAAGTTTGCTCAGTGAGTGGATCCTGAATAGGTTGACTTGCTACTCTGAATTGAAAACAGTTTTTCTTTGCCTTGTCTATTAGCCATGAACACACTTTCTCATTATATCCAAAGTTCTTGGGTTCCAAAACTTGTATCTGATAACTTCCCAAGGTTACCTGTTATTTAAGATAAATATTTCTGCTTTCAATAAGTCATAGTTTAGTTTTTTTCTCTCTATACTTAATCTGGCAGAATTGTTCTCAGTTAGTCATGGTGATTTCAGAACTATTATATCTGAAACTTACAGACATAGAGTTGATTTGCTTTTGAAATATAAAGGAAGAAAAGTGACCTTTCTTAACCCTTTCACTTAATTCAAAATGCAGACATAATTTTTTAAATGTGAAACCAAGAGTAAATAGAAATGCTTTTCCTCCAAAAGCACTGATGCATTTCTTCAGTTGTTTTAAATAATTAACAATCAGATGGTATGTTGGATACACAGATTATTCTTTTCCTAATGAGAATTAGATTGCAATGCATATAAGATTTGAAAACCAAAGATTAGCTTCAGCCATGAAACTTATTTCAGCTATCGCCCCAGCCTAACCCTGCCCCCAGACCTCATGGCCCAAAATAACCTCACCACCCGGTGACAACAGAGGTAGTAACACAATTCCTTTTAGCCAGGAAAGGAAAATACAGTAAGTATAAATAAGTACAGGTTACACAGCAGGCCTGAGTGAACAGGATTTGAAACTAAAAGTCAAAAAGAAAGCTATAAAAAAATTTCCATTTCAAGTCAGTATGTTTTGGATAAAAAGGAGACTTAATGGAGGATGGGGACAAGAAAAAGATTAGGAACTGGCAATCAGCCATAGAGGTAAAATAGGGAGGGAGGTCCAGCAAGGGGAATGACACAGGTTGCTGATAGGCCACAAGTGTAGATAAAGATAAGAAAGCAATATTATTTCAATGACTGTTGACTTAAGCAGCTAGTCTAGACTGTGAAAGAACTAAATCCTCTCTGGGAAAAGTTGTCTCTTTCTGATAATGCGAAGTGTGTTTATTTAAATGTCAGAGTGTCTCCTATTTGAGTTAATGCTTATGAGAGCAGTCTTTCCTAACTCCCTAAAATTAGTCCCAGAAATAAATTATTTTTTAACTAAACTAGTAAGTCTTTTAAAAAAAAGAAAAAGAAAAATCTAAATACATGGCTTGATTGCACTGTGCCACAGGTTAGTCTATAAAGCTTTGAGTATGGCATTTGTAAATGTTAGCATTATAAATGACAGGCGAACTTAAGAGTTGACTTGTAGTATTTCACTAGATTCTATAGTAGCCCGTAAGTTAAGCACTTGCTTGACCGTACACCATTAATGTTACATGATACAAAATAGGAAAAGATTTTTTGGTGGTATTGTGTTCTCTTCTCTCATAGAGTCAAAAGGATCCAGTATGCAGAATTCAGCTTCAAAATATTCAAAAGGAAAGCAGATTATTCAAAATTGAGTTACACAGTTATGAAACTGAACTACTCTGCTTTCAAATATTCTGTTGTATTGCCCCATAAGTACACTCATATTTGTCCCATCTGTGTCTCAATGTGGAAGACATATAGTAGATACTAAAATAAACCTTATTTCCCTTCTGCTCTACTACCCAGTTCCATTTTAAGACTAACAACAAGTTTGGAAACTCAGTTTTATATTGCCATGCAGCTAAACAGCTGTGAAAAAAAGTGGCCTGGGAAATACTGTTATGTATAAAAGAGAAACTTATTCAAGGATGGTAAATAGCAACAACTAGCATTTACATCATTCTGTAATGTGCAGGGTACTTTATGCACACACAGACACACATGAGTATATATGCATCACTATATGTATTAATATGTATAAATATCTTGTATATTATAAAGATTATATATGAAGTTACTTCAAAAATTTCGTGGAAAAATAGAATTAAAAGATAATATGAGTCCGTAAGGAAAAAGTAACATATCATAGTGTCAAAGGAAGTAGTAGCCAACTTCAGTACCAGCAATAGGGAAGAGTTATCATTACTCTGGAAAAAATTAATTTCAGAGCCTGCAGTTTGTGTTAAAAGACAAAATAAGGGCCACTTCCTGAATCTTTCTCCCCTGTGTACCATAACCAAGCAACCTGTATTTAGAACAAAACCCTTTCCCCATGATACAAGTTTAGACAAGGTTTTCTGCACTAGGCCCTGCTTCCCTGGCCAGCTCACACTCTAGCTCTCCACAGCTGCTACCTCATTCTTCATTCCTCAACCTTGCAAAGACCTCACCTCCACCCTCTCTCTCCTCCTTCAAAGAGAAAATAGACACCACCAGAAATGAACTCCTTCAACTTCCTTAACAACTAGATATACAAACCTACCTGTGTCCATCCCATCTTTGAGCCTTCTTCACTCCTATTACAATGACAAAGAGCTAAAGCTAATCCCTCCACCTGTGCACAGGGATCTTGTGCAAACAGTTCCTTCACACATATCATCAACCTCTCTACTGGCTCCTTTCCATCAGCATTTAAATGTGTAAAATTCCCCCATCTTTAAAAATAAATAAAAGCATGACTCCACTTCTTCCCCTAGATATTGACTTTTTGCTTCTTCCTCTTCACAGCCAGATCTAAAGTGTCTATAGCCAGTGCCACAATTCCTCACCTCCCTCACACTTCTCAACCCACTTTAATCTGGATTCTGCCCCTACCACTGCACAAAAAATTCTCAATAAGATACTAGAAGTTCTTATATTATTAGGCCTCTTAGCAACTAACCCTAACCCTCCTTTTCAAACTACTCTTCCTTTAACTGATTTGACACCTAGTTTTCTTCTTCTCTGATCACTCTTATTTGCCAATTTCTTCTCTACTTGCTGTAGATTCTCAGTGTTTTGCTCCATGTGCCCTCTTCTCACTCCATGCACACTTCCTAGGTCTCCCATTAACTACCAAGGCCAACGATAAATTTATGCACTTCAGACCTATACTTCGCTCCTGAACTCTCTCAAACTTCAACCTATATATCCATCTACTTGCCTACTGGACCCTTTCACTTGGATATTTCATAGGCTCCTCAAATTCAACCCCAAAGCTCAACTCTTCATCCCCCATCAAACCTGCTCCATCAGCATTTCCTATCTCAGGAAATGGCACCACTGCCCCACTCATTTCTAGCCAGAAATCTAGGAGTCATCCTTGACTTGTGTCTCACACAATTCATATCTATCAACCTCCTAGTCTTGTTGATTCTACATCTTAACTATCCTTTAGATCCATGTATTTTTCTCTATCACCAGTGCTACCACTGTAGTCCAAAAAACCATTCTTTCATCTGGTCTGCTACAATAGCTTTTAAAGTAGGCTTCCAGGGTTCACTCAGTCTCCATCCCCCACTCCGTTTTATATTCTGCCAGTATTTTTAATAAAGCTCTGCATAATCTTACCCCTCTCTGCTTCTCCCGCCTCTTTACAAGCCATACCACTCTTGCCTTAGCTTACTGTGCTCCAACTCAGCAGGCCTTTTAGTTCCTCCAACACACACATTCTTTCCTCCCCATAAAGCCTTCCAGCTTGCTGCTCTCTTCCTCTCTAACTCCTTCCAATGCTCCTCAAGAGAGAAACTCCTCTGTAATCTTTTCCTCCGGGAAATCGTCCCTGGTGTACCAGACTAGTTTGCTTTCCTTGTTAATTCCCTAGAATCACGAAACTTTTTAGTGTGCCCAAGTCACATATAATTTTTGGTATTTTGTTCCACTTTCCCACTAAACTGTAAAGAGCCATGGAGACCAGGGACCATGTCTGACTTGTTCACCCTTGAATTATTCCTGCTGCTTAATATAGTGCCTGGCACATAGACACTCATTATTTGCTGTATGGATAAATGGGAATACAGAAGCTATTTATTCAAAGAAAAGATAGCCCATCATCCTTTTATGGCATAGCAGCAGAAGTCAAAATGACACGTTAATCAGTATAACTTTTCATGCTTGCATAAGAGCAAGCTATTTTGGGGGTAGGAGAGGGAGAGTTGGTTGATGAACTTAAGCAACCTGACAAAATAAGGAACTCACTAAACATGTAAATCTAACCATGGTCATCTCTTCAATTTATTTGCTGATTTCTTACAGATTTTTGCATTTTACGTAGTTGTAATCCATGTGTAAGCACTATCTTAATTCTGCTTTTCACAAATCCCTATTTTACATAGTTGTAACCCATGTGTAAGCACTATCTTAATTCTGCTTTTTACAAATTTTTATGCTTCATCATTATTTACTTGGTATATTTAAAGGTAACATGGGGTTACATCAAGTTAATGGATTGTGATTTTTCTTAGCCATTTCCCCACTGTAGGCTTTTTGGTTCGTTCTGATTTGAGGTTATGAATGACAGTGCTGCAAACACTCTTCACAAATAACTTTTTTATTTTAAATTTTCTTCTT